GCTCTTTGAAGTGAGCTCCCAGCACACTCCAGGTTCACACCTGGGCCAGAAGTGCGCTCTTTGAAGCGAGCTCCCAGCACACTCCAGGTTCACACCTGCAGCAGAAGTGTGCTCTTTGAAGTGAGCTCCCAGCACACTCCACGTTCACACCTGCAGCAGAAGTGTGCTCTTTGAAGTGGACTCCCACTCCTCACTCACAATGCAGCCTGGATCACGTTACCAGACAAGACCAACCGGCAGGAAATACCCCCAGTTCTCCACAGAAGCAGCAGACAGGAGGACTCCAGGACCAGGACTGAGAAGCACTGAGCTTGCATATCAGGAATTCGGCAGTTAAAGGCCACACTCTAAATCTGATTTTCTAGAACAACCCTCTCAGGAGTCATGCTACTCGGAAATGTGGAACATAACATTTCTTTTCCATCACATTAAATGTGACCAGTATTTGCACATATGTATGGCACTGATTCATATTGGTACAGCTGTGCGAAATGTGCATGAGAATGAACAATAACTTTTACAGAAATCCACATCTCGGATCCGGTGATGTCTGTTTTAGGTAACAGAAAGTTTACCCATATGGTTATCATACGGTCCCCAAGAAAGTGACAAACTCAATTTGGCACCTGACAGACTTCACCGATCACCCCTGCTTACTGGAAGTCTGCATTTGAAATAAACCACCCAGTTTAGTAACTGCATAAAAGCACACTTGTTAGTCTACAGCCCTGAACTTGCATTCGCCTTTGCTTGAAGTTGAGAAGATCTTCTAGCAAACTACTGAATTACTGTTTTAAAGGGGAACTGCAGTCCCAATTTCTCAGACCGGTAATTAAACCTTGGCAACAAAATAAACTCATTTACAGTATCGCAACAGTTGACAGATTCTGAATGAAGTGTAAAAACATGGGCTTTGTGAAAGGACTGTATGGTTGCCATGTTGTCGCAAAGCGCCTCGCCACCGTTTAAGCAAAACTTAAAAGCACCTAAAAATGTGTTGCCTTGTACGTGTCAGATTCATCAGAATTTTTACTATTACTATGGTAGCAAAACTGACTTGGTCTGAAGCATGTTCACAGTGCAATAGGCCTGCTTTTGTATTAAAATCCCAGGCATTTCTTGAAAATAGTAGGGGTGTAACCCCGCTGTCCTGGGCAAATTTCCCCTTGGCCCTCACCAATCATGGCCTCCTAATAATCCCCCTCTCTCAACTGACTTCATCACTCTGTTCTCCTCCCCACTGAGAGCTGGTGTGTGGGGAGCGGAATGGTGCATCATCCAGGTGGGGCTGCACACTGGTGGTGGTGGAGGGGATCCCCATTACCTGTAAAGCGCTTTGAGTGGAGTGTCCAGAAAAGCGCTATATAAGTGTAAGCAATTAATTAATTAATATGGAGCTGCAGATATGTTGAAATTTTGTCTCTTTGGTGATTGAAATTGCAGGTTGTACGTTTCTGTGTATTTGGTAGTTTCATTGTGGTTTGAAATGCACTTATCACTATAACACCAAGGTGTAAAAACAGCCTTGCAGATCCCCTTGAAGACAGAGTGCCAGTACTGAAGAAAACTCTTATTCCCCCCAGCCTGTAGTGACCTGCTTCTCTGAGCTGCTAGAAGCTGAATATTACCCATTCCGGCCCTGTAGAAGAAACAGACTGTACCTTGTTCCCTTGTTCATCCATAGAACTGCTGCCTGCAGGAGAAAGAGAAAAAAGTTTCACCCATCAGGAACCGGAGGGAGCAGATCTTCTTGAGCTAAATATTTCTTCTGATTATTTGCAGAATCAATGTCTGGAAAGATCACCAGCTGCCCCAGATGGATCCCTGGGAATAAAGAGCTGCTCTCGCTGCTCTGGGGCAGGACACTGACAGATAAGAAAAAGACCACCTCTAGCCCCGGGGTCGTCCCGTTCCGATCCAGGCCTTACAGACCGCTCTTCGATCAGCAGGCTGTCAAGACTCGGACCACAAGGGAGTCGGCACCAGCTCAGTCAAGGAACGGGTTCGATTTAGGCGTGAAGCCCAAGGAGCTACAGGCTTTCGGCATTTTCCTTTCAGATGGTAGCTAAACTACTTTATGAAACCAATCACCTGCTCCAGAGGTTAAAATAAAACTTTCCCTTGCACCAGAGTTGGGGGTCCCCTGATTTAAGGAGTGACCCATGAATCCCACGAAACTGGAGCTCTCAGGGGCCAGTGTGGGTCCCCTCAGCCGCCCCCCGCCAGTCACTCTCTGGCCCTCAGGTCTAGTGCTGCTCCAGGTGGGGACTCCAGGCCCAAGTCCTGGCTTGTCAATACCAGCGGACAGGAATCCCAAAGGATCCAAGCTGCTTGAGGGCAGGGCTCTGGGTGGGCAGACGGCCCCGCCCTGAGCGGTCCACTCACCGAAGAGGTACACCACGCCGACGGAGCCGCCCAGCGCCAGCACGCCGGCCAGCCTCAGCACGATCTTCTTGGCGTAGGCCGTGTTCTCCTTCTGCTTCCTCTCATCGCCCCGGTCCTGCTGCCCCTGCTGCCCCTGCCCCTCTGCGTCGCCGGCCGGCTCCCCCTGAAAACACCCACACAGGGGAGTCAGAGCTCTGCACCGGTGCTCCCAGCCCAGCGGGCTCAGAAACACTCTGCCCTGATATCTCGCGCCCAGCCATGCCCTCACCAACGCGGCAAGACAGCAAACCGCCCTCACAGCCGAGAGCTGGACGCACTTCTTTACACAAAGGGCGGCAGGGGTCTGGAACAAGTACCCAGTCACATTGCCAAAGCCGGCACCCAGGCTTAAGGGCCAAACGGCCTCCTCCTGCTTGTAACTGTTCTTTAAGTTTTAACCAGTAAGGAAGTTTGTGAGCCTCAGCCACTTGGGGATTGTTGCACATGCGTCTACAGCGTGACATGTGTTTCATTACGAAAGTCTACAGTGACGCCAGGGGAGAACGAGCCGGGAAGGTTACTACTAGCAGTCCATCTACCCGACCTCACCAGCCACCAGTCACAACAGGAAACCACATCAGAGCAAAAAACTCAGGCTTCACTCACTACACCGACGCTGGAAACTAGACGTGACCCCCCTGTCCCGCTAACAGGCGATTCGCGTTAGCTTACCATCAACGCGTTTACTCTCTGTGATCGAGACACACCCGTTTGGAGTAAAAAAAAACAACAACAACAGACTTGCCTTCTTTGCAAGATTTAAAAACCCAGTTCGGTTTCAAAACGGAGATTTAGATATATTCTTGAATATACCTAAATGAACGGCAACGGTCATTTAAAAGAGCAGCTCTTTCAAGGTAAAAGGTGCCTTTCCCCGGACAAGGTTACGTCGCCCACGACGGCCTCGCTGTAACAGCTCAGTTCCAAAGCGTCGCGTCACTATTATCATCATCATCATTATTATTATTAAGAAAATTCTTGGGGAACATCTGACCTGCGGGGCAGTGGCAGCACCGACACTGACAGGCAGCTGACTCGCTTCAAAAGCAGCGAACCCACTTACCACCATCGCAGGCCGACATGTAGAGATACGTCTTCCTATGGACTTGACAAAAGTGTAAATTTCGCCTGTACTCGCCTGCAATATACCGTGTCTTTCCCTCCAACAGGTGGAAACCAGACAGACAGACAGAACCGCGGCTGTGCACAGACCTGGCTCTTGAGCTGCTGCTGCTGGAGTCGGTCCTGCAGGATGGCCTGAGCCAGCCCACCGGTACCGCTGTCCTCTCTGCCGGCCGGCCGGTCAGAGTGCATCGCCCGGATCCCGGCAGGTACCGCAGCTCCTGGACCGGCTCTGATCCCGGGTCCCAGTCGCAAGAGGCCCCGGCTCGTCCGGACACACACGTTGTATACATACCCCGCCGACATCTTGAATGGAGCACAACCGGTCGCAATGACGCGAGTGTAAAGGACAAATTGTGGTGATTGGACGGGGGGGATTTGATTGACAAGGGCACGCCCCAATAGGAAATTGAACGATGAAGGACCCGCCTTTGAAGGCGTGTCTCGAAAGGTTGCGCCCAATCAAAAAGTAGGAATCGCTGACCTTCGCGAGAAGCGCCAAAGCGGCCATGCTCTGTGAGGGCACACGCCCCAAAGACGTAGAGTGACGTCAACGAGTCTATTAATCTTCTTACAAGGCGAATTCGCTGGAGCGAGGTCTGATTCTACGTTAATAGCCATTGACCTCGTAAATCAAAATTTAAAACGTTTGTTTTCAAGAAGAGAAATTAAAACAATAACTTGATGGATTCTTATACTTCAAATTTGATTCTTAGTACGTTAGGTTTGTGAAAACATTTTCTCACGTAAAAATCTCAATATATCTAACCCCTACGAGTCTGCAGTTTTTGGATTACTGTTGGCTGCGACTGACCTATTTTAAATCCAATCAGACACTGCATCTCCAAGGTGCAGCTGATACAAGGCATCTTTCAACACCGCCGGTCTTTTCAAGAGATTTGACATTTCCAGACGTCTATCGGTAAAAAAACAACTACTCTTGTTTTTGAAGAAGTCTGGAATTTCAAAGACATTTTCAGAAACAGAGTAATTCTTTTTTTCCGATACCTTCCACCGGGATATTGTTTGCAGTTGCAGAACATTCAAAGGAGAGTGGAAGAGGATCTCCGAGTGTTGCTGCACACATCCAGAATCTTCTTACAGCTTAATTACAGCTTAGGTGGTTAAATGTACTGTGGACCTGCCAGCCTCTCTTTTCTCATCTCTTTTTGTGCTGTGGTTACTACTGGATCCTCGTTCTGCTTTGCAGACCCCCCCCAGATGAACTGAGAACCAAACGCTGTGTGAGATCGCCCCCGCCTGCGGGACGGTTAGTCTGGTGTCTGAAGGGGGGGGGTCACGGGCACAGCGGCGTGAGGCGAGTTTCCAGCACTGTCCCGGGCGGTACGTCACCGAGTGAGGTGCACGCTCCCGGCACAGATCCCTGCAGGTCCGAGAACTCCAGGTGCCAGGTTTATAATGACGGGTTTCCGGAGAGACGGGGCCCAGATCAGCAACACTGCGATTGCTTTTGCGTTTTGATAAGATCACTTTATTGGCTTTATCTACTTTATCTTGTATTAGGAATTTGTCTTTTGCATACCCCAGCTTGCTCTCCATGAGACAGGGAGAGAAGCTTGGGGTCAGAGCGCAGGGTCAGCCATTTATACGGCACCCCTGGAGCAGTTGGGGTTAAGGGCCTTGCTCAGGTTCCCAAGAAAGTAGGATTCCTCTGCCGGCCACGGGATTTGAACCAGCAACCTTCCAGCCACAGGTGCAGATCCTGAGCCACAGAGCCACCACTCCACTCTTGCCCAGTGTGCTTTTCCTGTTCGATTGCCTGAACAGGTATGTTGGGAGTCTGGACAATTCCTTATGCACTGCATGTCTTTAAAAACGCCTGTGACTAAATCTGCATTAAAATTGTGCATGACCATATCCAACCATCAAGGTAATAAATTAACTGCTTGTTAATAAGGTAAATTGCAACAGATTTACCCGGTAATTGTGTGAAATAATTATGCTACAATAATACTGTATGTAGAAGGTGATTAAAAAGAAATGATAATTCATCTGTTGCCCATATATGTAACTGTTTAGCAGGTAGCAGTGGGCCAGGAACTGGTGAAACCTGCTGCAACAAGAGAGAAGCACTGAAAACACTCAAAGGTACGATCACAGTGAAGAACACACAACATCAAAGATGCACACTTTTTAAATTTGAGAGTGAAAACAAGCCACTCAGCCCAACATCTTCTCCATTGCCGTTTTTATTGTGGAATTTCATGGCCTAAAAAAACAAACAAAAACAAAGCAGAAAATAAGTCCTAAGTTCCACACTGCACAATCAGAGCAGCGCGCCACTCCAAAATCTGTCTCCAGCAGGTTTAAAAAAAAAAGGAAAAAAAAAATCTTCTCCTCAAATTAGGAATTACTCGGAATTACTCTCCATCTCTTCAAAAAGGTGACATACGCACAGCCTCACCACAGCAGGAGGACGAAGAAAGTACAAAAAGTAACGCTACGCCACGGAAAAGCATGGTTTTTTTACATTCCTCTAACTTCAGTGGGATGGATGCGCGGAGCTCAAGCTGGGAGGGATGGATCACACCTCCAGTTTGCCCAAGAAGCGCAGATTGAGGATCTTGAGCTGCTCATCCAGCTCCATCCTCACAATCCCGTCCTCTCCATCAATGCTCAGCAGGACGCCTGTGGCCTCCCGGTCCTCTCCCAGGATCACTTTCACCTGCAGGGGGACACACACAGCTCACGTCGTTGGCCACAGCTGGAGGGGGGGACGTGCGAACTGGCTCTAACACCGGCGCCGGAGAGCTCTGATCATGCAGCCCTCCATTCATCTGGCCTGGCAGGAAAATGAGACCCAGTGCCTCTCCAGGCCCAGTGTGACTGAACCCTGAAAGGGCCTCAGGTTATTCAATCCTTCTAACCAGGGACTTGAGCAACACAGAGACATTTCACATTCACCCTGGAAAGCCGATCTCCAGCCGAGTCCAGCCATGAAGTGGGTCCAACAAGAGCTGAATCCCACAGAATCCACAGACAAACACTGTTACCCATTAAACAGATGTCAGCTACAATTAAAACCTGTTACTGCAGACACT